AACCAGGATAGAGTGGTTTTACTAATAGATTATTAAGAAGTATCTACCTGTTCGGTTAGTCCAGAAGCAGTATGTAGAATTAAAACAGTGTTCCTGCCTGTTCCCCTACCGGTATGAGAGGTTGAAACATAGTGAATCGTTTCGTGATCCGCAGTCTTCGGTCTCCATGTAGAGTAGCATATGGAGGAGGCTTTGTTGTCTGTGATGTTTCCCAAGCTTCAAAGGCCACAGCTACCTGGTACGGTATTACAGGGTCCAGTCCGCAGCTCCACAGCTCCGCCGAGTCCGCCGAGTCTCGACAGATCATCGATCCGCAATCGCGCCATCAGCATCCGCTTCCGATTCCGCCGTAGGCAGCCACAGCCCAGCGCAGGCAGGGCGCTCGATCGCTAATCGTAGAGGAACAACCGTGTCGGTACATTTGCACATACGGACGTCCATCGATATCGATTTGCCGGAGCGGATTCCCCACATGCCACATGCACACAAAACAAAACCCGCAGTGGGCCAATGCCAGCTGAAGAATCCCGGTCGGTCGGTCGATCGCTTGGATCAACAAACACCACGAAGCCAGCCAGCCACCTCTCGCTGTTACAACCACCTGCAGCAGCAGAAGCAGCAGTATGCGGCGCCAATGCCAATGCCAGCCCGCATGCGACCGACCAGACTCTGCCCGTCGAGGCTTAAGACTCTAAGTCTTTAAGTAGAGCGCGACGGGAAAAAACCCGCGCCCGTTGATTGATCTCCCTGCCTTCACAATCACCTTCGCCCTCGCCTTCATCATCATCATCATCACCATCACCATCACCTTCACGAGCCAACGAGCCAACGAACGCAAGAAATTAAACACACGCCCCCCCATACACACACAATGCCGCGACCGGATAAAGACTCCCCCGACTACGCCGCGCACAAAGCGCAGAAGCGCGCCGCGCGAGCCGCCAGGCGGGACGCGGAGGGGGCCGACGGGGCCGAGGAGACCAGACTGGCCGCGCCGCGGGACGACAGCAGGCGCGATCGCAGCCGGAGCAGGGGACCGCGGCGCGATGACGACAGGGGCGGGAGCGAGACCGAGCGCGAGGGCGCGCGGCGGCGCGCGAGGAAGGATGCTGCTGCCGGTGAAAAGACGCGCGAGCGGAGTTATGGCTACGGTGGTGAGCAGGCTGCAGTGGGTGCAGTGGGTGCACTGGGGGTGTACGGCGGTGCTGGTGGGGCGTTGTCCAATCAGGCGCAGGCAACGCATGCGGCGAATTACTCGTCGTACCCGCCGGATGTGCCCGCGGATTATGGCGTCGGGAAACCGCCGCAGGGGGGTGGCATACAACCTTAGCTATCCGCCGCCCGAGAACAGCTACGGACATGTACCCTCTCCGCCGCCGCCCCAGCCTGGGACCTACAGTGTCACTTCGATTGCTGCGCTCCCGCCGCCACAGCCGGGGGTGTATACGACCATTGCCGCCCCGCCGCCGCCGCAAACGGCCTCTTTCCCGATGTCTGGCCAGGGAAGACCGGCGTTGCAGTCTACCGTCCCAACTGTTTTCCAGTATCAGACGGGGGGTCCGACGGCGATCGTTCCGTACGGCGGCGATATGCCGCCAAACTTGGATCCGAACAATCTGACCGGGCCGTTGCCGGGTGAGGGGGCCGGGAAGGTCTATCCTCCCGGACAGGCACCACCACAGTTTGAGAATCCCGACTATTACCACCATGTGCTCTCCGACTCCACTACAACGCAGTCGTTGACACAATCTATATCGGCATCGACCGGGATGGGTGCGAATGCTAGTTACACCGAGGGCAATGGCAAGCCAAACGGAAGCGGCTTCTCCGGCAAGCTGGGAAAGCTCGGGATTCCTTCGTTGTCGAAGCTTTCTCTGTCGCCGGGCGGCGGTAGCAACGGCCATAGTGCACACGCAGCGGGAACTCTGCCACCACCCTCACCCGCCTTGCTGCCCTATCACGGAACATACCAGTCCATCTCGCCCATGCCGTCGCCTGTCTTCGCCGCCCAGCCTAACTCGCTGATCTCCGCCTCGGGATCCATCGGTATAGGAAAGCACCAGGCATCCGGCTCCTTCTCCATTGGCCCACCGGCATTCGCTAAGCCATCACTGAGCTTCCACGGCCGACCCAGCTACGAAGGTGAAGGCCACAGCCAATCCAACAACCAGCCCAACACGCCCTCAAACAGCAGACCCGTAATGATAGCCTCCCCCTATGTCGCCCCCTCCCGCGCCAGCTCCCCATCTCCCGAGCGCACATACAACCCCGCCTCAGACGCGAAAGCAATCCTCGACGAGCTCCGACACACATTCACGCGACCCTCGCCGCAGCCACTAATAGAAATCCTGCCGACTCTGACGCCGCAGCAGCTCAAATCGCTGCGCAAAGAATACAAGACGCTCTACCGGGGCGTAAACCTAGCCAAGCACATAAAATCCGTTTTCACGACGTCCACGCCCTTCGGCAAAATCATCTTCGCCGTAGCCCTGGGGCCCTACGAGAGCGAAGCGTGGTTTTCGAACGGCTGGTACCAGAAAAAGGAGACGCGCAACGAGCTGCTGATCGAAGCGCTAATGGGCAAATCCAACGCCGAGACGGAAGCGATCAAGGCATGCTTCAAGGACGCCAAATACGACTCGTCGCTCGAGAAAGCAGTCGCCGAGGAGCTGCCCGCCAACAAGTTCCGCGTCGCGGTGATGGCGCAGCTCTCCTGCGGCCGCATGGACGAGTCCGCGCCGTTCGTAGAAGCGGGCGTCCATGAGGACGTTAAAAGACTTGGCACGATCCTGGAGCGCACTAATGGCGCCGCGGGTGGTGAAACCGAAATGGTCGGGATTATTGTTAACCGCTCCGATCGATGGCTCCTCGCCGTCGCCCAGCTGTATAGACAGGTCTATCAGCGCGACTTGGCGAAGGCTGTCATGAAGCACTCCAAGAACCTTGTGGTAGCTACCCCCCCTTCCCCCAACCCCCCACCCCGCCCCCGCGCCCCCGCTCACACATGCACACACAGGGCGAAACACTCCTCCACATTCTCTCAGGCGTCACAGACCGGCCTTTGCGCGACGCGAAGCTTTTGCAGCAAGCGCTGGTAGCGGTAGTGGAGCAGAGCCGCGAGGACCTGCTGATCTCGCGCGCCACAAGGATCCATTGGGACCCGAGACACCTAAGAAGGGTCAAGAAGGTCTTCAAGAAGAAGTATGGCGTGTCTGTCGGTGCGAAGGTCGTCGAGGTCGCCAAAGGGAGCTTTAGGGAGTTTTTGCTGAGGATGTTGAGGGAGGATTAGGGGTGGGGGAAGGGGGCGCGGGCGGGGGGGGGTTGTTGTACACTTTTTTGGTTATATAGGATGGGGTTTAATGGATGGGTATGGGGACGGTCTACGGTATGGCTATGGATGGGTGAACCAAACTCACGGTGATTCGCTGGAACTGGTCCACGGGAACATGAACAGACTACTACTAGGAAAAGGTGATCGGTCATTTGAGGTCACTCGTGATATCATTGATTCAGTCTATCTCAAGAAGCTAGTACAAACGCCCAACCCATGACAATGCGCCAAACAACTGTGCAGCCATCCTACTGACAGAAGTGAATGAAATGAGAGAAATGGTAAGAAATGTTAACCTCAAATGCGCAGAAGCCTGGAGTGCAACAACATATTAGCTCGGTACCTATCCGGGAATGGGATGGGATGGGATGAGAGGCCATATACGTACCAAAAGATCTCGTCCTTGACCCGTTTACCAGGAAGCCCACTGGTTCTCCTCGTTATTGTCCTTCGAAGATCCACCGGCCGTGGTGTGGGCGGTTGGGCGTCCGCACCTGCCGCTCTTGATGCTGGATCAGCGCCGAGGGGGCGTTGAATTCCCTCTTGCAGGCGGGGCAGCTACGTAGTTACACAACATATCAGCTTCAATTCTAGCCGTCGGGGAAGGGGGGGATGGGATGGACGGGATGGGGGGTTCATACACAGCCTTGCGACGGGTATGTGCGGGGCCCTCCAGGTGCTGCCACAAGCCGTTGTACGTATTCATCTTGCTGCCGCACGGGCAAATGTACTTTCCGTGAACCTGGTTGAAGTACTTGTACATCTCGTGGTGGGCGATGCCGAGATCGTTGGCGGCTCTGTTGCTGGCGGTGCTGGTGGTGTCGACCCTGTTGCGGGCGTGGTGCGTGAGGAAGCCGCCGCCGCTGCCACCGCCACCGCCTACTTCTCCCTGCGTCTTAATCCACTGCATGGATGCGCGCTAAGCGGCACGTCTGGCGCGGTGGTTCGGGGGGCGGTTCGGGGGGTGGTTCGGCGTGGAGAAGCCTACGATGGCCCGAGTGGAATAGCTGTTGCTTCTGTGATGCGTGGGGATGCTACCGCCGCCCACAACTCCTTGCGTGCTCATCGGCGGCTTCAATGCGCGCTGAGAGGCAAGTCTGTTGCTTCTGCTGCGGTTGTTGTTCTGGGTGGGAAACCTCCGCCGGGCAAATCTCCGAGAGTGGTCATCGCCTGATGGACTCCGGGCCGAGAGCCATGGTGGTTATTCTGGTTGTAGTTCTGCGTGGGGAACTTTCCAGTGGCCTGAGTGGAATAGCTGTTGCTTCTGTGGTGCGTGGGAAAGCCGTCGCCGCCCATATCTCTCTGCGTGATCGTCGGTGGCTGGACTGAGCGCTGAGAGGCATGGATGTTGTCCTGGGTGGGGAAACCATCGTCGTCCATAGCTCTGAGATCCATCACCCACTGTTGGACTGCTCCGGGTCTCATGGCATGGTCGTTCTGGTGCATCGAGTCTCCGTGGGCCATTCCTCCCCTGCAGTTCTTCTCCGAGTGCATTGTGAGCCCGTTTTTGCTGCCCTTCAAGGTCTGTCGGCACACAAAGTAGGTCACATATTCGATGGGCTTGTGTACCTGCGGCTTGGTCAACAACACCACTCGGGTCCACACCGCGCATCAGCAAGCAAGCAACATACCCGATCCGCATGAATCGCCAATCCGCGCTGACTCTTGAAGTCCTTGTAACAGATGTGACAAGTGAAATGCCCACGACTGAGAACGCGGTGCTTGCAATGCTCCTCCCACGAACGAAAGTCGATATTGTGCAGCCGACAGTACGCATGGTCGTCGGCGCTCTCTTTGTGGCTCCTCATCTGGTCCTCATTACGGAACACCTTGATACATATAGGGTGCACTTGACGGAAGGTGAGGGATTCACAACCACCTCCCCCTCCTCCAGGTCGGAAGAGTAGCACGGACTGTAGTTACCGCTGCGGGTTAATTTCGGTTGCGGAATGGGAGCTTGTGGGAGCTATGTACTTACGCGGGCATGGTACCACCTTCGTTACTGGTTGGGCTTCTTTTGCTTTAACTCTGGTTGATTTTTGACCGGCATACCTTGGTTTGTGAAGTTGAGGGTAGGTTGTGAGATGGCGGAGGGAACACCGGGTTTTTTTTCGGGGGGGGGGGGGGGGGGGGGGGGGGGTTGCGGTTGCTGTTCTGGATCCGGATAGAACCCGACCTTGTTTCTCCGACTTGGAGGTGATAGAACCCGCTGTGTTTATTTGGCCGACAGTCACCGTGGGCTGCCGAGCCGAATCGGGTATTCACCAATTGTGTGTAGAACAGAGGTGCCAAGATATTCAAAAGCCCCGAAAACACCTTGTATGTTGGGGACATCTAAAACCGGAGTGTTTCACTCCCGTTTTGACGTTCGGTTAGTTAACAACCTAATTTTAAAAACGGCTTTTTACCCTCGTGGACCCCTCCGGCGCTGAAATAGCGCCCATGTACCCCCCTATCCTCGATGTACCCCACACAAAATTTTATAATTAGAGTACGGTAATTGTTTACCACAACAAAACAGATTTATTCCTCCACCACCACCAAAAACCAGATTTTAGTTCAATTAAAGTATGTATTTTTTTGTCACTGTACGGCAATTCTTCACCACAACAAAACAGATTTATTTCTCCACCACTAAAAGCCAGATTGTAGTTCTACCCACCAGAACCACGTATGTAGCAGCGTTTTTTCTTTTTCCGGGTTTTCAGTAATTGCTTACCTGTGTGGCTGCCTACATTTGGGCGCATAGTGACCAACACCACTGCAGATGCTACAGCGTGGCGGAGGTTTATTAGACACGTCCGGCAGACTAGATCCACCATTGCTAGGAGTGTACCCCTTCCTCCGCATGTCGCCCTTCTGTACTCGCTTTTTTGCCGGTCTACCCCGCGGTATCTTGGTCAATGGTGGCTTGCAGGATTGAAGCTGAAGTCGGTTCTCTCTAGTCTCTTCTGCCTGGCGCGGAGAGTCTGAGCCCGAGTCCTCCTTGATGATTTTGTTGAAGCCCTCCCAGTCGAACGGTGTCACAGCCGCTTTGTAGATTTCGGCCCATTTGCCATAAGAAAGGGCCTCTATTTTGTTGTGGTGAAGAATTGCCGTACTTTAATTGAACTAAAATCTGGTTTATGGTGGTGGTGGAGGAGTAAATCTGTTTTGTTGCGGTAAACAATTACCGTACTTTAATTATAAAATTTTGCGTGGGGTACATCGAGGATAGGGGGGTACATGGGCGCTATTTCAGCGCCGGAGGGGTGCACGAGGGTAAAAAGCCGTTTTTTTTTAAAAAAAAAAAGCTCTGTACAGTGATAGAGAAGAGGCAGGAGATGATTTATACAGCGCCCTTTTTTTAAAAAAAACGTTGTGGTTGAGTGGCAACCAAAATTAAAAATAAATAGACGAAAAAAGATTTAGTATGGAGAGGCCCTGGGAATGTCCAGCAGCTGAACAGCCACAATGCCCGATTGGGCAGTCTTGCAACACCCAGTTGCCCGATTGGGACGTCTTGGCACCACAACATGGTGGCTAATTGCCGTGATAAAGGATATTTTGTACATAAATGGAAACTAATTACCTACAATCTACTACAATTCTGACTTATCGCTAACCTGTTGATGAGCTTTGTACATCTGCGCTTTGGAAAATGGGCAAGAACTGGCCGAGAAATTGTGATATTCGTTCCCGGCGGGGTTGTCGAGCGCTGAAGCGCTAGAGCTCTAGAGTAGGCTGCGGAAGCGCGGTCAATGGTATTAGTGACAGACCTGTTGAAGAATAGAACCAATAGAATGCGCGTGCTCATGCGATCCAGAAGAGTGTTTTATCGAAGAAAACGGGCAAGAACTGGCCGAAATATTGTGATTTTCGGTCTCTGCGGGGCCATGGAGCGTGAGAAAATAAAATAAATAAATGCTAGTATATTACCGCATTTGGATTTTAATTCCCCCGATCCGAATGTTCACTTACTCCGGCACTAGATGTCCCCTGAGGCTTCAGCCCTATGTGCACTCTAATCTATAGAGTGATGTGATAAAGTTTAGCTAGTGCACATGTCGATCACCAATTAGGGTTGTCGGCAACATCCTACTTCTACATCCCGCTTCAACCGTATTTCAACTCCATCCAATAACATCCACCCAACGCCAAGAAAGAAAACAGCGACAAAACACCATGGACATCCCCCTTCCACCGTCGGAAGACGGTTCGCCCCCTCCTCCCGATATTCCATATCTGGTATTTGAACCACCTCTTCAGATCCAGAGACAGCGTGCCATCCACGACATTCTGCGCTCAATTGCTGCCACTCCGCGGTTCGCAGGAAACATCCCCAGGCTTCTTGACGTTGGCTGCGGCGAAGCAACCTTCATCCGTCGTTTGGTCCCGTGTGAAGACGAGTTGCCTCTGGGGCAGATGACAGGTGTCGACATCGATGACGAAGTTGCGCAGAGCAAGAGTTGGATGTTTCTAGAACAGCCGTTTGGGGACGAAGAGGACAGATGGCGTGGTCTCGACATTAGGCTGCTTCAAGGAAGTTTCGAAGCGCTGCGGATCGAGGACGTCGGCTACCATGAGGTGATTGTCTCTGCCGAAGGTGGGCGCAACCTAATTTCCCCGCAATCGAAAGGGTACATAGAAACTAACGAGGAGTGTCTAGTACTTGAACATCTCGACCCTGGCCCACGCTCGCAGTTTGCACCAACTCTGCTGGGAAAGCTGAAACCGAAGGTTTGCATCGTCACCACGCCGAATAGAGAGTTCAATGCGCTCTTCGACTTCTTGTCGAACCTGGATCCCAACGCGCCGGCGGCTGAGAGGTACCGTCGCGACGGGGTCCCATATCTCATGAGGCACCACGACCATCGCTTCGAGTGGACGAGACAGGATTTCAGATCCTGGGCGTTGCAGGCGGCCGAGGAGTTCGGGTACGATGTACAGTTCTGTGGTGTGGGTGGTCTCGGAAGGGGGA